CGTTTCAGGCCGCGCTCCCGGGCTGTCCCTGCTAGAGCCTGCCCCGCGAGTGCCACCGTGGTGGCTGTGCCAGGTGGGAAACGCCGCAGGTTTGAATTAAGAGTTCCAGTCTTGGGGGGAGGGAGGGTCTTGACCTACGCTGCGTGCCGGCGTAACCCCGTGAGAGCGCTCTGCTCTTGGAACGGCCGGGAGGTCGTTTGGAGGAGCGTCCCGTGCCGGTTTGAGGTGGGGTAGCTGCTCCTTTCCAAAAGATCTCCCGACCTGGCGTTTCGAGCTTTCAGCTGCAAGCTTGGCCGAGGCTGGGTGAGGCAGAGGGGCGGCAGGGCCCTCGGCAGGGGTTCACGTCCGCAGCAGACGGCTGATGTTCCCTCCCCGCAGCCCTTAACGCGCCGTTCTTCTCTCTCTGCAGAGACCTCAGAAGAGGAGGACGCCCCTTCCTTCGCTCCCTCCAGCTCTGTTGATGGCAATAACACAGACTCCGAGTTCGAGAAGGGTTTGAAGCACAAGCCCAAGGCCCAGGAGCCCCCCAAAACCATCACCCCGGTGAAGGATGAGTATGAATTTGATGAGGACGATGAGCAGGACCGGGTCCCGCCAGTCGATGACAAACATTTGCTGAAAAAGGATTACAGAAAAGAGACTAAAGCGAACAGTTTCATTTCCATACCCAAAATGGAAGTGAAAACTTATACTAAAAATAACACAATTACACCAAAGAAAGCTGCCCACCGCATCCTGTCGGACAGCTCGGATGAGGAGGAGACCAGCGTCGCTGTGGGGACGGGGGAGAAGCTGCGACTTTCGACCCACTCGATATTGCCCAGCAGCAAGATTCGGGAGCCCCCCAGCACGAAGCCGCAGAAGGAGAAAAGCAAAGTAAAAAAGAAGCGGAAGAAGGAGACGAAAAGCAAAGAGGTTCGGTTTGGCAAAAAAAATGACAAATTTTGTTCCTCTGAATCAGAGAGTGAAAACGTGGAGAGTGAGGAGGATGACAGAGACTCTCTTCAGAGCTCTAGCTGTGTAAAGGACTCCAGGCTAGTGCTAAAGGAATCCTCCTTGTTTAACTCTCTCTCTGCCTCATCGACCTCTTCTCATGGGAGTTTAGCGTCCCAGAAACATAATCCTAATCTTACAGAGCAGCACTCCAAGCACTGGAGGACGGACAATTGGAAAACCATATCTTCTCCAGCTTGGTCAGACGTCAGTTCCTTATCGGACTCCACCAGGACGAGACTGACGAGCGAGTCAGACTACTCGTCCGAGGACTCGAGCTTAGAGTCGCTAAAGCCAGTCAGGAAGAAACCAGAGCACAAAAAGAAAAACACCCCACACAACACTGTTTCTGAGAAAAAGAATTCATTCCATAGCAATGTGGATGGAGCAATTCCAAAGCTGGACAAGGAGGGGAAGGTTGTTAAAAAGCATAAAACAAAACACAAACATAAAAACAAGGAGAAGGGGCAGTGTCCCATCAGCCAAGACATTAAAATAATCAAAACGTTTTCTTTTGAGTTTGAGGACTCTAAACAAAAGCCTGAGAAAGGCTTGATAGTAGAGACAGAAAATCCAGTCGAAAACAAATTGAAAGTGTTAAAGCACGAGCGAGACCACAGCAAGAAGGAGGAAAAACTCCCCAAAAGTAAAGGGGAGGAGAAGGAGTGGTTGTTTAAAGATGAGACTGGAAAATCCTCAAAAGAGGAGAAATCATTAAGAAAAGTCAAAGATGGCAGTAAAGACATGAGCAAATCCTTCAGAGAAGGATTAAGTAAATCAGAAAAGGAGAAACCTGTAAAGGAGAAGTCTCCCAAAGAGGAGAAGCCAAGAATACACAAGGAGGAGAGAAAGAAGAAGTCAAAGGACAAGCAGTCAAAATCTGAAAAGAAGAACGAGCTGAAGGAGGAGAAGGCTTCTAAGCTAGACAAGGAGAAATCCTTCAAGGAGGAGAAAGAAAAATGCAAAAAAGAAAAACTCTACCGGGATGAGTCTGGGTTTGATGAGTTTAATAACAAAAACCAATTTCCCGAAAGCGAGGACACGAAGTTCAGCCTTTCAGATGATCAGCAAGAGAGGTGGTTTTCCGACTTGTCTTCGGATTCGTCCTTCGATTTCAAAGGGGAGGATAGCTGGGATTCTCCGGTAACAGATTTCAGGGAGATTAAAAATGACACCGTGGCAAAACTAATCATAGAACCCGTGAAAGAGGAAATTAAAGACAAGAAGAAGGAAAACAAAACGAAAGAGAAGAAGGACTACAACGAGAAGCGTAACGAGAAGGACACTTTCTTGAAGAAGAAAGAGCGGGACTATGTGGACAAAAGCTCCGAGAAGAAAAAGGACCAAACGGACAGACACAAAGTTACCCCTGGTTATTTGCCTGAAAAGGATAAGAAAAGGAAGGATTCTGCCGAGAGCGTCAAGGAGAGGAAAGAAAAAGATAGCGGTGAAACCAACAAGGACAGGAAAGATTCCTCTGATGGCTCTAAAGATCGAAAAGAACCCAAAACGAAGCAGGAGGAGCCCTATCGAGATGACTTTAAAGAATACGGCTGCGAAACGTTCTTCAAGGATAAATCTGACCCCGAATTCAGTGGGAAAACGCTGGAGAGTTGGGAAAGGCACCATTCTGGGAAGGAAAAGGAGAAGAAAGACGCTCCTGATAAAGAAAAAAAAGAAAAGGTGAAGCCGGAAAAATACAAGGAAAAATCCAAAGAAGGCGACAAGGAGAAAAATGAAAAAGTCGCTCCTGAGAAAATCCTGAAAGACAAAGAACTGGACAAGAGTTTCAAAGAGAAAAAAGACACGAAAGAGAAGTACAAAGACCTGCACAGCAAAGACAAGGAAAGGAAGAGTTCATTCGACCAGGTTAAGGAGAAGAAAGAGAAAAACTTCTCGGCGGATCGAGAGGACTTCTCCGAGAAAAAGGATGAGAAGAAAGGCAAGGAGAAAAGCTGGTACAGCATTGCGGACATCTTCACAGACGAAAGCGAAGACGAGCGGGATGATTACAGCTTGACTGGGTTCAAGGTCGGCGACTCTGCTGGGAGTGAAATGCATCGTCTGGACAGCCTGCAGGAGAAGGACGACGGCGCAGCGGCTGAGAAGGAGCTGTACCCCGACAAGCACCGCAAGTACTCCTCCGACCGGCAGCATTCGGGAGAGAAGCAGAAAGAGAAGGACTCCAAGGAGAAGAAAAAGGACAAGGGAACATCGGAAGGGGGAAAAGAGAAGAAGGAGAAGAGTTCCTTTGAAAAGCACAAGGAGAAGAAAGAAAAAGACTCTGCCGAGAAGTACAAGGACAGGAAAGACAGAACGTCCATAGATTCCACTCAGGAGAAGAAAAACAAGCAAAAGCTCCCGGAAAAGGTTGAAAAGAAACACGCCAGTGACGACAAGGTGAAAAGCAAGCATAAGGAGAAGCCCGAGAAAGAGCATTCCAAAGAGAAGAAGTCTTCAAAAGGAGGGGAGTCGGAGAAGAGCCTGCTGGAGAAACTGGAGGAGGAGGCTCTGAATGACTATAGAGATGACTCCAATGACAAAATCAGCGAGATCTCTTCCGACAGCTTCACAGATAGAGGGCAAGACCCAGGACTGACCAGCCTCTTTGAGTCTTCTAACCTCTCGCTCGCCGATGCCGCTGAAGAAAAGTTCAAGGACTCTCTCCCTTTACCCTGCTTGCAGGACAAACTCAAGGAGAAGGAGAGACACAGACATTCCTCATCTTCGTCAAAGAAGAGTCATGAGAAAGAGAAGGCAAAGAAGGAGAAGACAGAGAAAAAGGAGAAGGCGGAAGAATTCAAAGACTCCAGCAGCAGAAAGGATTCCACTCATTACGAAAAAGATTTCTCTGTGGACGGGGAGGCTTTCAGCGCTTCCTACAACATGAAGGCAGAGCCTGATGAGGAACCAGAGAAAAGCGTTGATTACTTATTTTCTGAAAAGAAAGATAAAAATGATTCTGAAAGAGAGCTGTCAAAGAAGGCGGAAAAAGAAAAGACTTACAGTTCCAGCACCATCAGCACAGTTAAAGAGAAAAAGAAGCGAGATAAACACAAGGAAAAATGGAAGGAGGAAAAGGAAAAGCACAGAGACAAACATGCAGATGGTTTCTTCAAACACCACAAAGACGAGCCAAAGTCAACGCTGAAAGACAAGGACAGCCCTCAAGTGACCACCTTTAAAGACAAATCAAAGGAGGACAACCTCAAATTCGGTGAGACCAAACTGAAGGAGAAGCTGAAGGAGAACCAGGAGAAAGACAAATCGGAGTCGATCAAAATAAGCAATGGGAACGAAAAAATAACCCTTTCCAAAGACACTGGCAAGAAAGACGCCAGGCCAAGGGAGAAACTCCTGGGAGACGGTGATTTGATGATGACCAGCTTTGAGAGGATGCTGAGCCAGAAAGACCTGGAAATCGAGGAGCGCCACAAAAGGCACAAAGAGAGAATGAAGCAAATGGAGAAAATGAGGCACAGGTCCGGAGACCCCAAATTGAAGGACAAACTTAAAAGCTCGGAGGAGGTGCGCAAGAGGAGCCTGGATCTGGCAGCGAAGAAGCCCTTAACGCTGGATACTCAGCTCAAGGACAAGAAACTTAAAGAGCTGGGTCCGCTGACTCCTATCCTGTCACCCGAAAACAAGGCACAGCCTGCTGTTGGGGCGGACTCCAAGGACTGGATCACGGGTCCTCAGCTGAAGGAGATCCTCCCGGCGTCTCCCAGGCCGGATCAGAACAGGCCGACGGGAGTCCCGACCCCGGCGTCTGTCGTCTCGTGTCCAAGCTACGAGGAGGTGATGCAGACGCCCAGGACTCCTTCCTGCAGCAACGAAGACTACACGGACCTGATGTTCGAGTGCGCAGACTCGCAGCACTCGCTGCCCATCTCCACGATGTCCATGAACGCCTGTTCCCCGTCCTTCTTCGACAGATACGCCAACGTTTCCGGCGGGCTCCCCGAGAATCCCAGTCAGACCCCGACTCGTACCATACCCTCCACGAACCTCTATCGTTCCATCTCCGTTGACATCAGAAGGGCGCCCGAAGAAGAGTTCAGCGTCGGAGATAAATTCTTCAGGCAGCAAAGCGTCCCGGCGACATCAAATTACGACTCTCCAGTGCAGCATCTAATGGAGGAGAAGGTTCCCCTTCCCTCTGTTTTTTTGTTCCAGTGTTTGTCACCTGGGTATTACTCACCAGATTACGGGGTTTCGTCACCGAAGGTGGAAGCTTTGCACTGTGCGCCGGGAGCCGTCAGCGGCGTCGCCCAGTCCCCTGAAAGTGTCTTTTCTGGTTTACAAGCGAAATCCTCCCCTTCGCACCGAGATGAGTTGCTGGCTCCTTCGGTGGAAAGTGCTCTTCCCCCCGACCTCGGCATGCCCTTGGACACCACGGAAGAGCAGCAAGCCACCGCCTCCATTATGCCGCCAGAACCTACCTACTTGCCGCCGATTGAAGAAAACCATTTTAGCTCGGCGATGCCAGAGCAAAACAACATAGACTGGGATAACCCTCCTTCCAGAAACCCCGACACCGCCATTCCTCCCAGCCTGATGGGGAACCCAGCAGAGCACTCTGTCAGCTGGTCCATGGGCTCAGAGCTTCTGATGAAATCTCCCCAGAGGTTTTCCGAGTCCCCTAAACCTCCGCTCTGCTCCCTAGAGCCGATTCACCCTGCGCCGGTAGCCTTCATCCCCACAGACACTTCCTACCCCGTTTCTCCCATATCTTACCCTCTGTCAGTGTCCGAACCGGGGCTCGATGAAGTCAAGGAGGACGCCGAGGAAGCGGTTCCAGGAGAGATAGCGAATGCCGAAGAGCAAGCTCCGTACATGTCCCCCACGAGGTTAGACACGTTCTTCAATAACTGCAAGCCTCTTCCAGAAGAAGCACCTGAGATACCTCCAGAGCCCCCGTGTATGCCAGCAGAACCTCAGGCAGAAGCCGTCAGCGCGCCCGAAAACAGCTACTTGGAAAACAGCAGCGCTGCGCCTGCGAATGCAGAGGAGGCGGTGACGTGGCCTGATCCCTTCACCAACACAGAGGATGACTTGGACCTCGGCCCCTTCTCGCTAC